GTTTCCAATTAAAATGTTCACCAGTGGAATGTTGAAAACAGGTGTTTTTTGAACAATCCTCAACTTTCTCAGTCTTGTGCTGCCTTGTCCCAGCTTTATTTTCTGGAACGTGTTGCAGGCATCAAATTCAAAATGAGAGATATCTTTTCTTTGTAGTGTATTTAATTGAATATAGGTTGAAAACGATTTGCAAATCGTTGTATTCTGTTTTTATTTACGTTTTAAACAACCTCCCAACTTCATTAGAATTGGGGTTGTAGAAGAAGAACATGATGCAAAAGTAAAATATGAATTTTCGATAACGTGTCAGTAAAAAAGGTATAAAAATAGAGCCTAACTCAGATTGAAGACGTCATCACATACTTTTAAAAAATGATTTCACAATTGACAAAAAAAAAAAAAGAAACACACTTTAATAAATCATTTAAAAATAGAATATTGAAAATTCATCACATCCAGCCCCTTTTCACTGACTAGCCAAGGGAATCACATTTACACAGATCACACACAAGACAAGAGACTAGCAAACTTAATCAGGAAACTAAACATGGGAGCATCTAACACAGAAAGGCAAAACAGACACACAAGGACAAGAAAACTGAAGCTCAGGTAATAAACTTTAAATAATAACTATAATTACAAATTCTGATAGCAAACACAGTCAAAAATGAGAATAAAATCATGGAAAACATATCAGGAAATGAAGCTGCAATAAATGACAAAAACAAAGAACAAACTAAGCAGATAATAATCTTTGGTGGTTCTAGGCATAAATAAATACACACCCCAAAATTCACTATTTGATGAATAAAATCTTTATTTTTTTTTTTACATTTATTCTAGTATTAAAACCCAGTGAACTGAATACTAATCATCTTGTTACAATGCAATGTTTTTCTACTAACATTTGGGACATGGTATTCATTGTTGCTGAGCAGCCTCCTCCCTCAGGACAATCATCTCAACAAAACGCCTCAGGTACAACTTATCTCACTTCTGTTGCCAGGTTAAGAGCACACGCCCTTTAGATCAGGGGAGTTTGGAGGCCAGGTTAACAGGATCCACTGTAACAAGTCAAATCCGCGGAGGCCCCACTCGCAACGCAAAGGATCTGCTGCCAATTAAACCGGATGTTAGACAGGTGTCCACAGGTCAGAACTTTTTTGGGCAGCACAAGGTGAACCTTCCCTGGCTGCTTGTTGTGAATATTCAACATGATGGCATTGTGATTACTATGTCCTGCTTCTGAAGCAATGCTAAATCATATGAAACCACAGGTGATTACATATTTTATTTTACTGACATTCTGCGCATATTAGTTTGCTTTACACACACATAATGGCTTACTGTAGGTTATTGCATTCAACCAATGTAAAATAATGACAATGTTTGAAAATCATTACATTAAATATGTTTTCAAATTTTGAAACAGGTGATACTTTATACTCCTGCTATTGTAAGCAAACCTCATGGTAAGACGAAGAAAAAAAAAACCCATATGGATTTCTTGTGTATTCTTTTGTCACATAAAGCTACAAAAACAGCAGAGTATTAATCCACTACTGAAAACAGTCCCTAGACAAAGTGTACCGTTGCCAACATTTGGTAAAAACTACAACGCACGACTGCTTTTCTAAACCGCCACCTAAACAGAAAGAAGCCTGAACATGATATTTATTAACACATTTAAAAACACATAAGAAGGATTACTTTTATTGGAATTCAGGCAAAATCACACCATACAACACTAGGAGGATTTCTCTGAGCATCAGTCTCATACAAAACTAGTAAGAAAACACATTTCATGGCTTGCCAACGTGGGATCTGATGAAACACTGCAATCTATTTAAGCCTGGAGCAAAGGAGCGACTTCAAAATGAACCTCAAGCTTTGGATAATGGATGACTTGATAATTGAAATGTCTGCTTTAATAGGGTTATAACAGTCCATAGTTACAAGTTGGGTGTCCCTGAATACTTTTTCTAAGGGGAACCCAGACAGATAACATATTCTCTGTTTTGTATCTTTGAACAAGCTCAGGTCGTGTTTACCTCTCCTACCTTTTAAAAAGGCAACTGCCTTATTCTTGCATATTTTATTCATTTTTTCCTTTTTATTGTTCTCCCCTTGAGGAACTTGTCAGATGTGGCAATTTTTCACAAAGTTACCTCAGGGCCCACATCTCTGGGTGTTACTGGTGCTCTGCAAGGTCCTACGTTGCTCTGGGACTGTGCCTAAAAGGGCTGCGCTCACCTCTGATAAGCAATTAGCATTCTAAAGGCTGTTTTTTTCTCTCACATTCAAGATATTATTTGTAAAAAGCAGCAATCATGCACTCACATTGGCCATATTCACCGTTGCTGTGATGAACACAAATAATTCCCATTGATGTTACAGCTTCAGCCTGTGGGACATTGACAGATTCATTATAATTTTAGTCATTTTTTAAGAAAACATCAAAACAGCCAACGCACCCAGCTAATGCGTGTGTCTGACGTGTGCTGTCCACACACAGACACATCACTATGAATTCAACAGAACGCATGTGGCTTTTCTAATTACATGGGCTCTCCCTCCTGCTGCCAGAGAAGCTCGTTTGGGCATTGAGGGGAACGCGTGTGCTAAAAAGTAAAGGAGACTTGGAAGGATGAGCCTTAATGAGGGGAGTCAGTGAAACGTGTCTGATGGTGACGTTTCTTCCTGGAGCTGGAGGGCTTTCAATGAAAAGCAGGCCTCAACTGCAGACCCCGCTCCACTGCCCAGCCCTCTCATCCTCAGATAACCGGGCACGACGCAGCACAACAAGCAGCCCGTACTCAGGAGGCAATTAAGGCTCTGATATGCTTACACACCCGGAAACACTTGCTTGGCTGCAGGCAGAGGGGGAAGAAGGCCGGGGCAGTGGGGAAGTTCACTGGTGGTGTGGTGGTGATATTTGTTTGTCAGCAGGAACAGAGAAAGTAGCGGTCCAAAATTAGCTGCCTTGCTAGTTTAATGCAACATCCAACACTTCCTCTGGCTTCAAAACATATACATTACTACAGAAAACAGATGGAGCTTCTACGCACAAGACAAAAGCAGTATTGAGGGAGCAAGCCAAACGGGATGCTATTAAGCTGAAGCTGGCACAGAGTCAGAGTAGCTCTTTAACACCAGCAGCACGGCTGCCAAGCCTTAATACGATCTGTTAGTGAAGAGGGTCCTGGGACTGCAGTGAGCTCAGGGTGTTTGTAGTTAGACAGAACAGCGTTAGGCCTGTCTTTAAGCCAGGGCCAGACTGAGAAATGGCTATTTCAGAGGATTGGTGACAGGCTGGTGCTGCACCGTATGTCTTATAAATGAGTATCTCCCCTGCATCCCACACCATTATTTCTAAGCTACCCTCTGGCAGCAGGTCCCATGCTACTACTCTCTGGGCAGGTGGAGCTGCACAGATCACACTTTGTTTTTAACCTGAGGAGACTCATTTGAGTCTGTAGAAGCACTGGTTAGATTCATTCCTGCTTTTTCCATTTGTGCTGAATTTGACTGCTCGGGCTGCAGAAACAAGGACCTTGTTGACAAAGTCACCTTAGGAAAGCTTTGGATTATTCCAAGTTAGGTTTTTTGTTATTGCTCCATTTATATGCCCTATTGATTACAATGCCATTATAAATAACGTGGAATTGAAAATTTCAAAACATAATGACATTGCCTGGGGAACTGGGCACAAGCAAACGGCTCTAGGTAGGTCATGAAAAATCAAGTTTTTACCCGATTAGCTTTCTCTTTTTTTGAAGCTAAAAGCAAAGGTCATTGCTAGTACCAATTACTTGTAGCACAAGGAAACTGGAAGCGTGCACATCTAAAATCTTTTTTTTTATCCTAACTCTCTCTGTTTTATTCTGCTTTCTTGTTTATGTGAATCTTCATACCTGTGCAGCACTCGAGAGTTTTTGTTTTTTCATCATTCCTCTACCCCCAAGGAGCCACAGTTAATGATGAAGATCTGAGCAATTACTTGGACATTGTTTCCATATTGGAGACAACCAATGGCTACATAATGAAATGAAATGAAACCAATGCTTTTCTGCAAGCGATTCATCCACGAGTCGACCCACAGAAACAATTCTGATAATTAAGTCATTACATTGGCAGCAAACATTTTCTGGCTTCTCTGTTGTGAGTTTTCTGTCATTTTGAAACTATCTCGCTATTTAGACTGCTTTTTGGGTACCACAAGCAATCTCACAGAGTCTCTGGGAAATTGTGATTCCGTTTACTGAATAAAGAATTGATAGAATGATCTAGAGAGAAATAAAAAAAGATAATTGTTAGTTGTGACTCTTTATGGAAGCATATGGCTAACACGCATGTATGATCGCTAATTGGTCCTCCCAAGTCCAGAGTATTAATTTTTACATTTTCTCATGTGCACCTGTGTTTTCTGACCAGTTAAACTAGAACGTGTCATTTTTTTGACCCCTCGTTTAACAGCCCGGCTGGTGCCTCTAAAAGCCTGTGGTTTGTGTGATAATGGCACAATGGTAAATGTGACCATTAGATGGCAGCTAGGGTTAGGTCACCTTCACAGGCTGAGAGCTGGGCTTGTTGTCCTCCATCAGCTGAAGAATCCCTTTCGCTGCTGTGGCACTGTTGCCCATTATTTGTGGCTTTGGGTGACCTGTGGCTACTGTGTCATTTTCACACCACAGGGCTAATTGCACCAAATGGTGATAGATTTTGAGGGAAAAGATGAGATAGGCATTTCATGCCGACCGCCTGGTGCCAAGCATTAGCTGCAATTTAGTTTACTGCTGCAGAGCTTCTAGAGGAGCTGATGCATTTAGACAGTTACAATGGGCCTGTGGTGATATAACTAATAATGGAGACTGTGATGCATTCCTTCACCAGTTTTCTTCTGGTAGCAAGTTGCAAAGGCACATTGCTGATAGCTACGAGTTTCATACTTTTTACTTCCTGTGAAACAGCTTGCTTTTTTTTTCTGCCCCTTGCTGTAGCTGGCTGCACCTTTGATGAGGACTCGGACCCTGGGCTGTGTGAATATCGACAGGGCCAGGAGGATGACTTTGACTGGCAGCTGATCAGGACCTACAACTGGCCACATCCAACTCCGGATCTTTTGCGAGGTAGGCTTCTGCAGGTGTCAGAGTTAAAGTCATTGACAGCAACACAATTTCCACAAGTCTGTTCACACATTCAGGCGGTGATTTAAAAACATGAACATACTCGTTTTCCCTCACACAGTTCCTCCTTTGTTCATGACCGGGCCAACAAACAAACTAAAAACAAAAGAAACATCCTTTTATGCAGTACTTCTCCCAACATGACAGAGAAACGTTTCGTGCACCTGTGGACAATGCAAAAATTCAGGTCTAACAACCGCTGGTGTGTACAGGCAGATTGTTACAGCAAGCCAAACCTGTTGCAGCCTTCTTATTGACACATTGGTGTGTGTTTTAACAGAATTGTAAAACTGTGAATCTAACATTTACCGCAGTACAGTGGCATAAATCCAGCTTTAGACTGACCCCAAAAACTCCATTGACAGGCAGGAGTGTAGTTGTGTTAGTGTCTCTGTGTCACTGATCACAATTTTATTGCACACCTGCCGCAGTGGAGCAGCTCAGTCCAGACCAGTTATAGAGTGTGCTCACGCTGGGTAGCTCTCATGTGTGAAAAGCAGCAGCTGGAAAAGAACATCTGCTCTACACCGAGTACTTTGAGCTCTTCTAAAAAAGAATTTCTGCTGCAAATATACAGCATACCAATTTATAAGTGAGCAATGGGCAGAGGAAAGCAGCAGGATGTTTTTGTATACAGGGTTTGTGGTTGGTAGAATTCATTTAGACATCATTGGCTTGGCTTTTTACTACTTAAGGGAAGTGTATTTGTCTGTAGATCCTCTCTAAAGCAATAAGCAATTCAAAGTAGTTCAGCAGAGACAGAAAAGGCTGAAAAGCTGAAAACTGTGTATAAGAAACAAGAAAGAGAAAAGTGTAACTGACTATAATTAACGGACTAACAATAACATAACAGATAAGAACACAAGTTTACATTTCAACCCAGTTTATAACAGCTGAGTGAGATAGGACACAGTAGGCAGATCTGTCCCAGACCACTGGAGATGTTTCTTAATGCACTTCAGAAGTGTATTTAGGTCCTAAACGGCTTCATAAACCAACAGAAGTATTCTTAAAATTAACAAGCCTAACCCGCAGGAGGTTCCTTTCTGTCATTTTAATGGCAGCTGTCTCCAAAGCCTGAAAGTGCTGACAGTCCATTGCTGGCTTTACTTACTGGCTTACAGCCGCAGCGAGCCGTGCAGCTTAATAATGCTTTAAACATTTCTTTCTTTTTTGCTTCAGTTTTGCTTACCCTATTCTTGTAACTGACAATTTTTTGAAGAAAAACTACAAAGCAGATGCAGGTGGTAAGACACAGATGAGACTAGGAATAACAAAAGCCAGAACTAGAAATAACTCAGATGCAGTAGAGTGAAAAGCTAAACTATACAGAACTCACACTTAAGTCATCTATTAAGTACTGCAATAAGAGTCCACAACAAACTTAAACTGCTGATTCAGGGACCAGCCTGAGAACTATTCCTCCAGACCACTTAAAATCAGAATAAATTTGGGTTCTTTAGAGGTAAGGGTAAATAAGGGTTCTAATGCAGTGTGGTGTCACATAATAGATCTAATGCGATTGGGTAAAATGGTTAAACAATGTGTTTTAGCCACATTCTACATAGTATGTTATCAAAAGTAAAGTCTCATACAGTTTTTAGATTCTATCTTTTTTCTGTTAGAAGCTTTTTCATTTGGATGTTCTGAATATGTGAAAAATCTATGACAAACCCAAACTCTGCCCCTAAATCCGACCCCAGAGGTGCACTGATGTTAAGAGGTAAAATTATTGCTCATCAGTAGGAATGATAATCTGCAGTTCCTTGCGACACTATGTTATATATATCCCAAAGGCTGCTGAGGTAATTAATGAATATTTGAACCAAGTAGGTGAAAAGCTGCAGGTGATCCCTGCAGGTCTTCCAGCTTCCACTGCCAGTCTCTTATTCACCATTAGCTTAGTCGCTGAAAGATTTCTGGCTCCAGCATGGACGTTCGCTCCTCTGGCCTCTCATTAGTCTTATTTTTGGCACACCTCTGTGCCATAAGCCTTGAGAAAAATGTTTGTCTGTGCTGTACACAACCACAAAAAATGTACAGCACCCACATTTAAAACTCCAATCTCATGGAAAAGCATCAATCAACCCACTTAGCTTTGCAGTCTCGTTCTTGATACTTGAGTTATTTATTTTGCAAAACCCAATGTGAGCCCCACAAGGCTCACATTGGGAGGCATTTACCATCTAGCCCAGATACCAAGCTATAAACAGTACTGTTGTTGTGCAAAAGCACACAATGCAGAATAACCCACCATTCAGCTATAAAATGGCTTGCCACTGCTTTTATGTGCTGTGTTATTTTCCAGATGGTTCATTATACTCTGTGGATGTTCACACTAAAATAATGACATATTTAATAAAAACAAATTTCCCGCAAATTAGTTTGAGGCATTCTGTCATTCTGGAGGGGAACTTCCGGTCCAAAACTCAAATCTTAATCTATTTCGGAGCAATCCTGTCAGGATAACTCAATGGTTTCTCAACTGGGGAGGGTGTGAAGAAAAGGGAGCTACACTCATGTTGCTGCTAGTTTTATGACAGATATTTTCAAATGTTTTGCCCAAAACAACCACAAGATTTTGCAAGTAAATGTAGTTCTAGAATTGAATAAACATAATATATATTTTAATGTGTATTTGTCTACAATGTTTATTAATTCAAAGTTATGTTATGTGGCAAATATTGCCAAATATTTTGTATTTCCAGACTTTTCAAGTTGTCAGTTTGGTATAAAACAGGTTGCAAAACTCACATCAAATAGCTAAATCTCCAGCTGCCAAATATCTGGCAGCTGGAGATTTAGCTATTTGATGTGTACGAGGCTTATATCAGAAAGATTTCTGATAGAGTACAGTACTGCAGTACTGCATATCAGAAATAATGTTAGAAACCTTATATGACATTTTATGGCTTAAGTCCTGTGAAAAACTTAATATGACCTTAGTGCTTCATGAGGAAATGTGATGGTAAGTAGCAGCCAGGTGCTTCTAATCTTGTCCACTCGATTAACTGATCATCTGCAAGTGCAACCACCCGATAAAACCAGAGCTTCTTTCTGGTAGTTTTCTAGTCTGGAACATTCAGGTGTGTTAACAAAATGCCACAGTCTTCCTATAAGTGGACTTCACATCAAAGTCATCCTAAGGTCAGACTGTGCAATGAGAGTCAAACATAGGAGAAATTGCAAAAAGCCCAAGAGCTACATCTCAGAATAAACATCCAATGCAATTACAAGAGAACTGAACAAATACTGCTTATTTGGAAGGTTTGCCAGGACAAAGTTATTTCCTCTAAAAAGAACAGCATGACAGGATGAACAAACCACAAAACTTTTGGAAACATTTCCTTTGGACTGATTGGACATAAGTGGAGAAATACTCCTAATACACAGCACCACATTTAGCAAAAACACCTCAAACGAACCTAAACACCTCACAAACACCTTATACCAACTGTCAAGCATGGCAGTCCAACAAGGGCAAAAGGAAAAAATAATCAGATTAACATGGTTAGCCATAGTCAGAGTTTGATTGAAATGCAGCAGAAACAACAAGTAAACCAGTAGCAGTAGTTGATTTAAATCATAAGCCGCAAACCTTTGATGCTATTAAGCAGAAAAGCAGAATTTGTGCTTGGCCATGCCGCTGAAAACAATATTCAGATAGGCTGCTGCAAATGATAACTCGGGGATCAGTGACCTTCATCACCTTCTGCGAGCTGTATGGCAAATAGTGTGTTTTGACTGCCTTATACGCACAGTGCACTATCTAGTTTTGCAAGTCAGTTAAGGAAGGCATTTGATTTTACTGTATGCCATTCAAATGTGCTGTGAGGAATCGGGGCCCAATGAATTCTTGTATTCTGGCTTCTTTCACACCTTTATTGAAAGCTATTCACTTTTGAATGAAATACCCAAAATGCCCCTTGGTGTGAAGAATAGAGGTTCTTAGATATGCTGCAGAACATTAAACGAGCATTTCTGACTGTGGCTCTAAATTCAAACTGATTTTCACAGGGTTTTTGTCATTTAGATTGAATGCAGAAAAGGTATATAGCTTTTTAAAGCTGCAGTAATGAATATTTTTTTATTAAACAATAGGACAAATGACTGTTTGTAATGTGAGCAAGGTTGCACTCACACAGAAAGTTATTGCCCACTCTTCTTCTTCACTTGATTTAGGTGAAATAATTTCAGTTTATTAAGCTTACTGTTTTGGTAAATGTACAGTTTGGTTCAGTGTTGTAGGTGTTATTCGCCCTGTTTTCAGTAGCAGGCAGGTGTTTCCAAACAAAAACACTAGGAGTTACAATTTCATCATGTATGTACCAGGTCTAATTTATAAGCCTCACACATATTGAAATGCATATACACTCACACCTAAAATGCACTAAAAAGGTAGGTAAAATATTTACTTACATTTAATCCATCCATCCATTCATTCATCCATTCATTTCCGCTCATCCTTTTCAGGGTTGCGGGGGGGCACTGGAGCCTATCCCAGCTGTCTTAGGGCGAGAGGCAGCGTACTGCCGCAGGGCTACTTACATGTAATATTAAAGGTAATTTTTTTAAGGTGATTAAATAGGAAAAAAAGGACACTTCTAATGTACTCATAAACATACATAGCATAGTGTGTAATTACGTCTTCCAACAAATTAATTCCTTCTTGTGAACTAGAATTAATCCATGAAAAATACATAGGAGTGGGCACCAGTTTATTGAACCCCCCTGTTGCCCTGCCAAATTTTATTGACGTGACTAGGAAGAATGTCTCACCTCCAACGAATCATGTTTCACAAATGTGGCCGGTCTTTAGCAACAAACATCTTCAGACTGCTGACTAAACAAGAACTGCTGCTAGTTTTCAGTTATGTCGGGTGATGTTAGACTTGAGTCCCGAACCTAACATTAAAATCACGCTTTCCCTGTGATAAAGATTC